TCGAGAGCAATACGAAAGGCGTAATGAAGGCGTCAAAACCTCGAAGGCAACTGGCCTCTGTCTTTGTTTTGCCGAGCTTATATAGGCGAGGTTTATATTGAATTTCGCGCGACGGGAATGTGGCCTTTCGTGAGAAAAGTGAGAAAGGTTAGATCGAGATGAGAAAGTTAGGATGAAAGGATGTGAAAGTTAAGATAAGGAAATGTTTATAGACGCGCGGCTCGATGCGCCTAGATTGTAATGGGAACCGTGTTGCAGCATGACGAACCTAAGGTCGTGGGATACATGATTGATGACTGACAAATTGACTGTACCATGGCAGCTCCTTTGTTTGACTCGTAGTTGCACTTGTGTGGTCCTTAGAAGCTGCGAGGCGCCATTGTACCACGCTTTCACCCTGGCAACTGAAACCAAGTCACTTTTCATGTGTTATGAGTCATGGTCAAGATTGATTGATTAGTGAGAAATTTATCGAAAATCGCGTAACACCGCGATGGAACAGACTGAGAAGCAGACTGTCTGCAAACGTCCCACTTTCCCTGGCTGAGCAGAAGCGGCGAGGGCGAGTCAATGTGTGTCAGAAGCATTTCGAATGTAAGCGGACGTCGACTTCAGCTGACTTCATTACTGCTCAGGATAAAAGTGGATGTCATTCTAAAATCCACACAGGAAATTGCAATGCCTATCAGTGGACGTAAGGCCATAGTCCCCCACACAGTTGGACGCTTACGCCAAGGAGAAATGAGCTCATCTCCCTCTGCCAATCAGGTGTTCCACACTGCGGTAAACGTAAGAGTATTCTGCGAATAACGGAGAGCGGTGGTGTTTACAGTTCCCATTTCACGCCGATTACAAGGGAATTTTCGATTAAGATGGATAATGCCCGACCATTACACGCAAGGATGACGATGAAGGAGCTGCAAAGACCTGGTATATCCCGATTACCCCACTGCCCACATATTCACTTTACCTCAACCTATATGACGCCTACTATACTTTCAGAAGCCCAAAGGCCTCATCCGAAAGGAAAAATTCTATAGTCACCAGGAAGCCAAGTAGGTATTAGATAAATTGATTGCGTGCACGCCATTCTTTTATCTTGAAGAGTGGCATCAGTGTCTCGATCGGTAAACGGGGAGACACTGTGGCTAAGAAGGACCACTATCTCGAGTACTGATCTGAGTTTTTTGTTGTAGGTATTTTGTGTTGAAAAAAACTGACTGAATTTTCCAAACTGTCCGGCTGTCTGACACCTTCAGAGTGAAGCAACAGAAAAAAATTCACGTCTAGTAAGCCTGAGACATCTTTTACAAGTTCTACAAGCAGGCCAGAAATCCACTCAAACGGCGTTCTCCCTTATCAACCCATCCAGAAGCTGCGAAAGAAAGCACAACGAGAATTTTGGGAAAATCTAGTGGATCTACATAGTGCCAGATGGTGTATAACTAGTGAGGAATGAGCAGCTATGCTTCGCATATTCAGATTTTGTCTCTCCAAGGATGCGTTTCAATACCTTTCTTGAGAGCGCCAAAACAAAATCAGAAAGCAATCCTGCTCAGAATTCTGTTCAGTATTGTCATGAGACCTGAGCGCTAGGATTATCTCTTATTCAAACAAACTACT